TTTTTCTTGATTGACTATTATTGTATTTGGGGGGGTGGGGTTCTGTAAAAGTTTCAAATACTCAAAAATGACCCTTCTACTTGAAAAGTAGCCCCAAGATGCTTCTGAAACCTCTCAGTAGAACTGCCTAACACCTTCTCGGCAGAATTCCTTGAGTCACAAGCTCGCACTGCCCTTCCTACTTTCAAAGCCAATTCGCAATAAACAAACTGTTTTTATTGCACGCAATCCCCTCAGTCGTCTGGCCCAGATTCTGTTTCCCAACTACAAGATTCTGTTACCTAAGGCTTAGGTCAATCACATTTGAATGTTGTCCAAAGCAACTTTTGGTCCTTAATCAATTGCCACAAATTTTAGTATTAGATGAAGCACCAAATAACATGCAACCATCTGTTTTAGATGGTGCCAAAATCTCACTGAAAATATACCCTCTTTCAGAACAAGCTTTTAGAAGAAATTAACGACAAGAGTCGCTTTTCTTCACTGTAGGGCTGATGTATTTCACAAGGAGTGTAGCAATTCAGTTTATTCTGCTTCCAAGGCAAGCTGTCAACTGTAAGTTATTCTACTGACATTTTGGCTGAGCCAGACACTGACTTTTCTCTACCAGATATCACTACTTGATAAACCCCATTGCCCTCTTCTGCCTGACTCTACCTAAATCCAGTATTACAGCTAAGCGCCTACTCAGATATAAAATCTGTCATTTGGGTTAGGAAAGAAGACCCATACTTATCTTAGAATTCTCAGCTAACGGGCAATTTCAGCCATGCTTAGGTTGACATTCAGTCGGAAGAGGGCACTTCCTAAGAAAGGCCTGTGACGAAGCAAAAGGTCCATGGCTGTAATTGGTGGGTAAGGATTGAACAGTAAAATTTGCATTTATAATTTCTTAAATCAGCAGTATCTATTGACTGTGGATCAGGACTGTGCCAGGAACGACCACTTAAATACAATTAAGACACATTTCCTGTTTCTGAGGAGCTCGCTAACAGGGGATGTGGATCTGTGTGGAGAATGCACGGAGTATATAAAATGACAATACAGTGACAAATGCTACAGCAGAACCAAGTTGAAAATGAAATGGCATCACTGAGAGGGGTGCTCAGGGAAGGCACTGAGATTATTTTTGCAGATTTTCATGAGGACGAAGGTCAGGAGGGGTGGGTGAAAGAGAAGGTGAGTACTCAGTACTCAAGGCAGGGAAATCATCCATGCGAGGATAGCGTGAAGCCCAAGGAGAGCAGCCAGGGCCCAAGTGGGGATCGGCAAACAAAGTGAACAAGTAGGCGAATGTCAGGTTGGGGCCTGGGTGCCAAGTTAAGGAGTTAAGGTTCTGTTGGGTGGACCACAGGAGGTGACAGGGTTAGATCTGCTTAGGAAGGAGGAGGGCTTAGAGCAGTCAAGCGGTAGGAGACCACACTGGGAGTGGGGGCTATTGTGAGGGAGTGGCTGCCCCAGAGGCTGATAAGAACTGGGTGGGCCAGCTTGGGGTCCACCAACCCAGAGATAAGTAGGTGCTGCTGGTGCCAAGACCCTGGAGATAAACTGACCAGAGTAGTGGTCAGGGGGACAGATAAGCCTTTGGAACCCCTCTCTAGATTATTTATGTTCAAAATGTAACACCCAGGGCACCAGCAGACAGCATTCCTTGGGGTAGGCCTTGATGGAATTTTCTATCTCCATTCCTGGGTTTAACTTCTACATGTATTTCCTGAACCCAAGGAGTTCAAGTAGGACCAGCTGCTGATCCAGGCCTGGAACAGAACTGGATGGAACAGTATTTCTCATAAGAGAGCAAAGGGCAACAACCAGAGGGCTGTTGGTGAGTCACCCATCACAAAAGGCACCAGCGGCCAATCCAGCCCAGGTCCTCGCTTCCCAGCACCAGAAGCCGTGCTCAGTGCCCTGCATGCGGAGAGGGACAACTGTGCAAACTTCACCCTCAGACACAGGCATCCCTGATGGCCCAGGCGGGGGACAAAACTCCACGTCTCTCCAACAGAATAGAAGCTGTCATCCCTTCCTGCTCTGTGACATGGCCTGGAATAAGACTCCCCCTCATGGGACTGTTATGAGGAATAAATGAGACGATGCAAGTTAAGAACTCAGCACACATTAAACATGCAATGAAACCTTCGCTTGTATCTATTACTTTTCAGACCATAATCCCAATTCTTACACTTATTAAAGTGGGGATGGGCCCTGGCCAGTGTGGTTCATTGGATAGAGTGTCAGCCCACTCACCAAAGGGTCAAGGGTTCGATTCCTGGGTTGCAGGTTCAATCCCCAGCCTGAGTCAGGGCACATGTGAGGCAACCAATTGATGTGTCCCTCTCACATCAGTGTTTCTCCCTCTCTCTCTTCCTCCTGCTTTCCTCCCTCCCTTACACTCTCTCTTTAAAAAAAAAAAAAAATATATATATATATATATATATATTCTCAGGTAAGGGTTAACAGAAAGAAAGAAAGAAAGAGAGAGAGAGAGAGAGAGAGAGAGAGAAAAGAAAGAAAGAAAGAAAGAAAGAAAGAAAGAAAGAAAGAAAGAAAGAAAGAAAGAAAGAAAAAGAAAGAAAGAAAGAAAGAAAGAGAAAAAAAGAGCAAGAGTGGGTATGGTGCTCAGTGGGTTGAGTGGGTGTTCAGAGCCCATAAGTATAGAGAACTGCAGTAAAAGAATAAAATTCTCTGTATTGTGAGTAGACAAAAGATATTGCATACTATATAAATGAAGCAAAAATTAACCCTTTCTAGTTCGGTTCAAGGTCACTGCTGTTGTTTAAAATCCTACCATTTCTGCTAAGCCAGACCCTGCAGGAGTTTTGGCAGCTTTTAGGGATTTGGCCTCCACCATCACAAGTGAACTGTGTGCAGTTGGGGATCTTCTCAGCAAACCCTAAAAGTGAGACTTTATCACAGCCTACAGCCTCCAAAGTATCAAGACAGGCAGTTCCAGAAGCAGCCTTTAGCTCCCATTAATAAAGGTTAGCGGTTACATTAGGCAGACCAGCAGACTCTGGGACTAACTAGTCTCTTATTAAGTTATAAATACATTTAATGGCTGTAGTATTGGTTTCTTATTTTGGAATATGAGGGAGGAACATCAGAACTCGTAATCACAAGAGTTTAAAAGCCGCTGTTTTTTATAATGTATATTTACCTACAGTATTGCTTATAAATTACCGTTTTTGTAAAGCCCACATACTCCCTCAAAGGACACCTATGATTTGCCTGTCATGGCATTGAGCTATTTGCAGTGGTAGAAGATTATAAAACCCACTGAGCACCATACCCACTGTCTGGTTTTGATTCAAACTAGTCAAACCAGTTCAGAAAAAGACTCTGAAATTTCCCTCCCCATCTTCCCTTCTGGCTTCTCATTAAGGGGAAAATATGCCTCTCCTGTCCATCTTCACTTACTGAACTCTAAACACAGAACACTATCCAAGTTTTCTGAAAAAGAACACAAGATAGAGTTGAAAGGACGCAGAGTTCTCCTCTTTCACTTTCTGCACTGAGAAAGAATATACTTAAAATCATTTACCCAATAATGAATCAAGTTCAAGCTTACCTCATCTCCTGTTGCTGACATGCTAACTGATCCATTGACTGTGGGCAAATTCGAGAGCTGTGCACCCTCCACGATGCCCAGGCATGGAGACGGTCTCCAGTGATGCTCCGATGGTGTGGTGGGAAGCCGTCCCTGAATTGCTATGAGATCTAAATAAACTGCACAGGTGTTACATGCTCACATCCCACCCCACTGCTGTTCCCGAATACAAATGAGCCACTTGTCTTTTCCTTCCTCCTAATAAGCAGCACAGTGCCTCTCAGCTCTCGGCCCCATAGGTCCCATGTGAGAAACCTGTTTCCTAGGTGGGCTGGGCTGCTGGTAACCAATGGCCTCAGCAGGGTTCCCCCAGGGGGAAAAGTAGGGGTGGGAGGGGTCACACGCCCCAGGGACTGAGCTGTTTGCCCTTGGTCAGGATGGACAGGCCCCACCTATTTAAAAAAAAAGGCTAGAAACGGTTCTTCCGGATTTCACACACGGAGAACGGCTGAGCTGGCTGCGCAGTCTGTAGTTGGCTTCAGAATCAGCAATGGGAAGGGGAGAAAACCTCACAACAAAGAGTGGTAACAGAAGGTTTGTGTGGGAAGATGGTTAAGTTTGGTCTAAAACAAGCAGTGTCTCCGGTAATGAGCTGTTGTGAGGAAATATGCGGGGCCCTCGGTGCCTGCTGCTGCTCCACAAGGGTTTTCTTTTGGGGGGTGACTGGGGAAGAGCAGAGACCCCCTAAATAGCATGGAGGACTACAGAGCAGAGGAAAAAGCCACCTCCATGTGCTGTAGCCATGAAGCCCTGCATTTGGCCCAAGCTCCACTCCTCGGGCACTGTATCGCCTTTGGCAACACCCAGCCTTCTCGGAATCAGAGCAGCCTCATGTGTAGATGAGTAGACCTGGGGCATCAGCCAGGGTCCTAGCATGAAACATACAGCACACTCAGCTGAGGTGACCTCGGAGAGTTTCATAAAGGGACTATTTACAAAGGGTGTGGGAGGGGACTCCTGCGAGGGCAGTGAAGCCTCTGAGGCTTGGCAAAACCGAAGTCAGGACCAATCCACTGCTTGAAATGACAAGGGCAGGGTGTGGTTACCAAACTCTGAAGTTGCCTGACAGGAGCTGCAGCCCTTGGCAGAGGAGCCCAGCCATGGTCAATCCACAGAGAGTGACTTCCCCAACCTGTCTCTACTCTCAAATACCAAGCTCCTTCAGCACGTCTGGTAGATCCTGACCAGAGGCCAAAAGGACAAGTTCACAGAGGCCAGACTCCAGGATGAAGCACAGGGTGGGGAGAGGACCTAAAGCAGCAAACAGAGCACACCCAGCACACCTAACACATGTCGGGGCTGGCAGGGTTTTAACGAGATCACTCTAAGTGCCTGGCACTACGGGTGGTCACTCAACACCTATTTGATCCAACTGTCTATTTGGCATTTATTGTCAAAAGGCCACAATATAACTTTTATTCTCAGGTGGCAAAAGCCAGAAGGAAAACAAAGACATGTTTCATTTACTCAGAGTGAAAAAACTTTTACAAAGTTGACAGATAACATTTATTAAAACATGTCATACAAAAGGGCATGGTCTCTTCTATAAGAAGAAAATATTAAACAGTAACATTCAATTAAGTAAAACCATGCTGTACACTGAGGACAGCAATATATAAAGACAAAACTATTCAACTTTTGCAACACAGGCATAACAGTTCACAAAATATCAATAAGATATGCACCTAGTGATAATCTGTTTATCATCAAATTGTTTCGTGGTCTAAGAGTCACCTGACTTGCATAAATAATTTTCTGGAAGAAACATTGGGAACCTCATAAAAGGAAAGAAGGCAGCAGCAACTGACATTGTGACACAGGCTTCAAGCAAAACTAAAAACAAAGTCACATTTGCAAAATGTGTTCCAGCATCTTCCCATAGAGTGCTATCAGTAGAGATCTAAAATAAGAAACATGTACCTTTAAATACATAAGTAGTTAAGAAAAAACTCAAACCAACCAACCCTGGTTTCACTGAACAATGTCAGTCACCCATGAAAGCAACATAAATCACAAAATTAAGTGTGGCATGGATGGGGGCTGAGGGGGCAGATAATATGTTGCGTGGTTTCCAGCATTCCTACATGATGAGAGACCTTTTACAAGCAAACACCTGGATTGGGTGTGATGGAGTCTTTGCCACCCTTGGTAACCAGGGGACTGCAGTGAATCCCGCTCCCCAGGGGAAGCAGCTTGGGAACATGAGTGCCTCTGAGGGAAGGAGCCACTGAGACCTGGCAGCCTTCCCAAATAGCTAGAAGTCATCTTAGGGCCAATTCAGCTCAGCACAAGCCCACTAGAATGGAGGAGACCCTCTGGGCAGACTCTCTGAAAGTTGTGGCCAAAAGAAGAGAGTGGGGGAAGGTGAGATCTAGAAATCGAATCAACAGGCTGGCCCAGGAGTGCCTGAGGGTGACCCTCAGCACTTGAGGAAAGACTGTCGCAGTCCTTCTGTAGACAGTGACACCTACTTTCCACACGGATTACTATGATGTGTACATCTACGATTAAAGGCATTGTATCAGTACTCATATTAAATACCACTGGTGGTGCCTTGAAGCCCTTTCCCACTGGGAGAGAGGAAACCACAGTTAACACTCAAAGTAGAGGACAGATACCTTGGTTGTAGGCCACTGACACAATCCCTGAAAGGCTGTTTGGAAAATGTTACCCATGGCCAACCAAACTTTGGAAGGATAAAGATTTCTAAAGCTGTACGGAGGCTGAGACAGACTATCCAACCCAGGGTTGGCAGGAAAAACAGGTAGTAGCACAGTATGACCTCCTACTCCTAAAAAGCTGAGTTTATAAAAATTCACTTTTACTATCCAAACTAAGGCAATCCCTTCTCCCACCTCTCCGAACATGCTAGCATTTCAGATGCCCAACCATCTCCCGGGGTCTGGCTGACCGGATTAGCAATCCTAATTTTTATGGAAACCCCAATGATCATAAAAAAACAACACAGCAGAGGTGAGGAACTTAAGACTTTAAATTCTACATTTAGTAGCTGATGTGCATATAAGGATTTCAACCAAAGACACACCTGTCTTCACAGCACATGAAGTTAAGTCCCAGTACAACTGACTGCTTCTAGAACGACCACTCAAGGCTGCCCACCACTCCCAGTGAGCCCGAGGCTTCGTCATTACTCATGCCAAGGGTGCTAGCTGACTTCAGCATACCTGAAGGACCATGATTTTCCCCAATATTTTATTTTTACCGCTGGGACTTCTCCTCAAATGTCCAGTGCTCATCTGAGTATAATCTTTAACAGGAAACAGGATGTCACATTTTCTAAACAGAGAGACAATGGTTTGCTGAGACCATGGAAGAGGGCAATCAGCTGCTGGCAGAATAAAACGGCTTTACTACCTTGAAACTGGAATTAGCAGGAGTAATAAGACAATTGCTCCTCGCACAGAATGGCTGGGATCAGACCTAGAGCCCACTGGCTTCTAACACGAGAGAAAGGAAACGAGCTGCTGAGCTTGATTGTACAGTCACTTCTGTCAGGTTCACAGAGAAAGGACTGGTAATGGGGGAAGTTTCAACACTAGGAGGCTATTAATGTGGCAAACAACCAAGAGGTAATATCTAGTTTCTAGGTTAAAAAATCAATATATATATATGTATATTTATCATAAAGTTTTAAATACAAAGTGCTTTTACATATCGAGAATGATACAGTGTTAACGAATAGATCCCTGTTTTTTCATCTTGCTTACAAGAGTTAACTGGTAAGTAAGTACTTGCTTTCCCCTTTCCAGACAACATTCAACAAGTGAACACCTGCTGGTAGGAGCTTAAGGACCAGAGGCCATTGCCAGCAATGTCTGTCACATTAGAGCAAAACCAAACTTTTAAAACAAAATTCCATCCCAAAGCCAAGAAAAGTTATTTTTATTTTCAGGAAAAAAAGTTTCCACTTGGAAGTAATAGATCAGTAAGCTTATGGAAAAGTTGACATAGAGTAGCACCCTGTCCTACCCTGGTGGTAACCGAAGGTATATTACACAGCTAAAAGCATCCTGAATATATGCCTGCTTTTCACCCTGAAACATCTGACTGATCGGCAGAAAAGGTCTCAGAATAGCTGCTCATCTTGTTGTTTTTGGTAGGTAGGGCTAGCTATGTGGACTTGTAAATTTATGCAGCTTTATCTATAATTTGGGAGCATGAATCTGTAGACTAGTTTCTAAAATTAGGATTTCTTCTTTCCCCTTTTAAAACACATTCCAGCACTCCTAAGAGAACTGGCGGCATTAGCTCAGTGTGGCCCTCTGAATGAATATCTCCCCCACCGATGTATGTCCAGGACCCCTCTTTTCTTTGTGCAGTTTCTCCCCCTCCATTATTACCTGCCACTCACAATCCTGCTATTCGGCAACTCTCATTCTGCCAGTTGGGAGTGTCACTGTAGCCTCCTATTAACTCCTGAAGTTCACAGGTCATTCTTGCCGTGATTCTGGCTCCTTCCCACTAACTGCGGTCACTGACTGACCTCCTTGGGAAGCACCATAATTTAAGACAGCGCAAAACGGCTACAGCAGCCAACGGTACCGGGGTCAGTCACAGCAAGCTAGACGGCTGCTAGCCATAGAGCAGACCCCACTGTGTGGATGCTACAGTTAAACAAAAAGGATTTGGGACAGCAAACCAATTAGAAAGGCCTATCTCTGGCACACTAAAGAATGATGATTAGATACAAGTGTTCAAACTGTTAGTATTACAATACAGAACTCTGCCTTTTCAAGAGTCTGAAACATACTGTGACAGTGGCATCTCACAGAAATTGAAGCTTGTACCATAAGTTGTTTCATACTTGGACTGTCACCCTCTTATTATCTCCGTAGTTTTAGAAAGAAGAAAACTGGACAAGAGAGTTGTTAATCAACTTCGCATCCTAGGAATCACATTATTTGCAGCTTTTACATAAGTAGCATTTCATTCAGTAAAGCAGCTACCAAAACAAATCCACGTTACCTAAGTATCTATAGTAAGAGCAAGATAAGCTTCCAACATGACCTTGTAATAATAAGTGATCAAAAACTGCTACCACCTGAAATGGAACTGGTGGGCTAGAGTCCAGTTCCAAGTGCAGGGATCTCTATCCCCAAGTCCACCTGCCCCAGTCACAACGGGCCTAAAGATGTACCTGGCCAGCTGGAGGTGGGTTAACTTACCCCCATTATCTACTCCAGGCCTGGACTGGAACATACAAATCTGAGGAATTAGATTTTTTTCATTGGCCTACTTAGAACCGGTCTTTCAGAAATATCTTCCATTTTTTTTAAGCTTCTCTCATAATAGCAAGTAGCACACATCATCTGTGCCCAGATTTGCATAATTACCATCGTTTATTTTTGTGCCTGCCACTCAAGGGCCAGATACTATTTCTAGTTAGCCTCAGTCGTATTCTGCTCAGCTTTCGCAGCTTCATAAGACTTGGTACAAGAAGTCACATGCCTGTGGAAACTGTCCCTCCACATAAATCTCTTTGCACAGATATTACACTCATATGGCTTTATGCCTGTGTGAATTTTCATGTGGCCCACGAGGTGATGCTTCATCTTGAATTTCTTACCACAGACACCACAGCCGTAAGGCCGAAGCCCAAGATGCATACTCATGTGTCGATCTCTCTGACTCTTGTGAGTGAAACTTTTCCCACACTGACAAGGATACAGCTTGTCGGTGGCCGAGAATCCCAAGTGTGAAGCTTCTTCTTTAATCCCTGTTACCATTTCAATATTCTCGCTGTAGCCTGTTGCCAGGGCAGCCTCCTGTCTGTGCCCGATTAGACTGCCCTCTGACCTCTCTCCAGAAAACTCTTCCATGGAAGAGCCATAGAAATCTACCTGCTCGTCATAATTGCTTTCATCAGCCTGCTCGTCAAACTCGGCCTCCACTTTTTTTTCCACGATGTGAAAGTCTTCCTCTACCCCCGAAGGCTGGACCGTGTGCTCGGTCTGCATGGTGTTGATGGACTCAGTGACCTGGTGCTCGTCGTAGGGCGCGTGCACGTCCATGCCCTCGCACGCCGGCTCGAAGCGCTCGGGCTTCACGTGGATCCAGCGTTTGTGTGCCATGATGCTGGGCTTGCTGTACAGAGGCCGGGTGTAGTGGAACTCGGCACTGTCGCTGGCCCCCTCCTCCCCGTCCTGGCTCGCCATTTCAGTGCTCAGCCGGTCATGCTCTGTGGATGAGTTGCTGGGAAGGTACTCGTGCTCCGTGAGCTGAGATGACAGCTCGTCTTTGGTGCTCTCCTCCTCGTTCTCTCCATCCCTCAGTTCTTGGGATTTGGGGAAATCAGTGTGGCTCCCAGAGCCCAGCTCAAAGCTCTCCACCAAGCCATTATAACTACTGCTGCTTGGAGACTGGTGGTCACTGCTATGATTTAGCTTTTGACAAAGGACTGTTGGGTTTCCCTCTAAAACCTCAGTGCATTTGTCTACCACATGCCACATCTGGAGGAAGCTCGCTGCTGTTAAGTAACTGACAATTTCTGGAGCGGGCATTACTAGACGTCCCGTGTAACTAGACAGGAGAATGTTCTCAAACACTCTTGGATTCATCACATCAGGCAAAACGATCCTCCTGCTGTTTTTCAGGAGCACCTGGTCACAAAAGTAGGGCGAACTGGCAGCAAGGACAGCTTTGTGTGCCCGGAAAATGTGGCCTTGTACAACAATGGAGACATCGCACAATTGTCCTTGCTGGCGCTGCTGGTTCAGTTTCTGCAGAATGGTGCTGGAAAAATCAGGAAATTCTACTCGAAAAGAGTTTGTTCCAGGCTCCATTTCATCACAAATCTTGTTCAGTGCTACAAAAGAAAGAAAAATGAGTGTTAATGCCAGCCCAAAGAGAAACTTACTGATCACTAAGGAAACCAGGACAGGTTCCACAGTCCACGTCCCCTTGCCTATGGGCACTGCGGGTGGAGCATTCATTCCCCAGAGCAAGGCTCACAGGGATGAGTGTGCCAACAGCAGGAGCCACCCACCACCCTTCACGGTGTTAACTCTTGATTTTGCCTGGGTCTGTGATGAGAGAATAGAATCCACAGAGATTAGATTTGCAAACTATACAAATCCCATAAGTAAAAGAAATTATTTTTAGTCAAAACAAACATGGTATGTATCTAAATGATAGAATTTTTAAGAGGCTTCAGATTCAACCCAAATTTCCACGTTGGAGTGAGGATGGAATTGTGGGCAGAAGGAAGAGCGTATATAAAGGCTCTGAGGCAGGAATGAACTTGGCAACTGCAAGGAACTGCAAGGAGACCACTAGGCTAGAATCCAGTGAGGGAGCGAGGGGGAGGGGCCAGGTCAGGACAACCATGAGTCTAGTCCCTCAGCACCACAGGGTGAAGAGGCTAAGGCCCCCCACAGTGTGAGTTTCTCTAGTTGCTGTCAGAATTTCTGCCCTCTGGGAACTTTCTGATAATGTGAAACAAGTGAAATGGCAAGGCAAGGTATTCCTTCTATCCGCTGGTCTTCCAGTTGCTTAAAAAGTTACAGCCCAAAGATAAAATTACAACAGAGAATAGGGATTACCTGTGTTGTTACTGTAAATGTACTTTGTGGGTTAAGTCAAGCACTAGGGACGATTTCTAACAGCAATAAACAAGATGAACTCTGATGGAGATCCTGCTCATGCCCCATAATTCCACAGTAAATTGAAACCAACCAGAAAACCCAACAGATTTATCAGTGCTATTTGTCATCTGACTCTATATCTAAGTATTGCTAAATACCAGATAAGAGATAAAAGCATAAGATAAAAGAACCAGACAACCAAAACAAAGATTGCAAGTCATCTTTGAGAGATAGGGAAAGATGCCAAGAGAAGAAATGAATGTTTCTGGAGTATATTATGTCCCTGGTATATAATTACTATATATAAACACACCTTTTTTTCACTTAATCTCTACAATGACTCTGCAAATACAGGGATGGGGATTCTCAAGTTCAGTGATTTCAAGCAACTTTGCCAAGGTTAAAATTAAAGCTAGTTTTTATTAAGATGGGACCTGAATCTAGATTTCTATGACTCCAAAGCCTATGCTAATCTTCCTATCACATCATTCTGCCTCTTCTAAGAAGATGCCAAAATACCAGAATAGTCATTAATAATTTTAAGAGGTAAGACAGTGTTTTTAGAATAAGTATTAGTTTGTGGTTTATACCTCTTAAAATATTTCATCATAATTTAAAAGAAAAATAGACCAGGAAACAAACTATTTAGATACTTGCAGTTTCAAAAAGGAAAGAAAACTACATAAATGTATAGACTAGAGGTATGCCAATTTTGAGAACTACGTCTGGGTAACCAGATTCTTTGGCTTGATCTCATCGCTGCAGAATTTTGTTTTTAGATAACTGAAAAAAAAGGAGAGAGGGACTAATACACACATGGATGGGATTAGTACCCTTATAAAAGAGACACCACAGAATTACAGGTGAGGACAGGGAACCAAGGAGCGGTGCCCTGACCAGACACTGAATCTTCTGGCCCCTTGACCTTGGACTTCCCAGCCTCCAGAACTCTGAGGAATAAGTTTCTTTTTATAAGCCACCCAGTCTGTGATATTTTGCTACAGTAGCCCAAATGGACTAAGATACCACCTTAGCACAAAAAGAGCTAACTCATTCTGTTCAAATGGCTATATAGTTTCCTGCTATATGGATTTATTGTAATTTAAGCAGTCCTCTTCTTACAGAATTTTAATTGTCCAGGTTTTTGAAATTATGAACGATGCTATAATGGACATCTGTGCATCACTATCTTGGCATATCTTTGGAAATATCTATAGGTTACTGTAATCTCTACCAGTGGGATTGCTGGGTCAAAGGGCTACGCATTTGATATTCTGACATATATTACCAAACTGCTTTCCAGAAAGGTTGCAGCAAGTCACACGTCTACACCAAGACTAATGATGGTATCTACTCTCCCACACTCTTACCAACACTGGACGTTATCGAATAAGGAAAAAAAGTTGGCAAACCACCAAAGTGACTCATCCATGACTCACTGTTGTTCTCACCAACATTTCTTTAATTATGAATGAGATACTCTTTACTCATGTTTACTGGTCATTTATTCTTCCTATAAATTATCAGTCATACTCTTTGCTCAAATAAATTGGGCAATTCATCTTATATATTAATTTGTAGTTTCTTGGTAAATTCAGGAAATTAACTTTGAAATTTATGTAAATTACCCACCTTTGCTTTTATGGCTCTAGGGCTTTGTGTTAGACATAGAAAGGCATTCCCAACTCCAAGGTTATTTTTAAAAAGTAAAAAAAATTATTTAGGTTTTTTTCCTGGTACATTTTTTAAAAGCACTTAAACCTTTAATATACAAAGAGTTTATTTTGGTATAAGAGTAATATTGGGATCTAGCCCTTTCCCCTCCAAAATGGTTAGCCTACTCTTCCAAAACTATTATTGAATATCCACCTTTTCTTCAAGTTCCATGTGTTGTAGAATTTTAAATGACTGGCAATAGACTTTTAAAAACACTTCTACAAAAATAAATGGCATCATGATATTATAGAAAATGGTGGAGTAGGAAGCTCTAGAGGGCAGCCTCTCCAAAAAAAAACAACCAATAAGCTGCTGAAATGATCAGAATCAACTATCTCAGAGCCCTGGAATCCGATCAGACGCTTATAGCAACAGAGGTAATGACTGATGAAGGGAGAGGCTGCTGTACCTTGCTAAAAAAGCAGTGTGCCCAAACCAGCTACAATCCCCATTCCTCAGCCCTGCCATAGCCTGGAGGATATTGGCCACCATTCCTAAAGTGGCTGGCTGATGCCTGGGTGGACGACAAGGACCATGCCCTCCAAAAACTGGGGAGTTTTGCATCCTGGCCAGTCTGGTGGACCCACACAGCTTTGTTCTGATCCCTCTGGTTGCAGTGGCTTTCCCAGCAGCATCGTATGATTTTAAAAAACAAACACACTTTCACCCCCTTTCCTCTGGGTCAAAGCATTTAAGGAAAAAATTTTGGGGGGTTGTCATCAGAGGATATTTTCCCCACTGATTTTTTAGAGTGGAAGGGAGGGGGGAGAGAGAGACACACTGATTGGTTGCCTCCTGCACATTCCCTGACTGGGGCTGGGGATCGAGCCTGCAACCGAGGTACATGCCCTTGACTGGAATAGAACCCACGACCCTTTAGTTTGCAGGCTGATGCTCTAACCACTGAGCCAAAATGGCCAGGGAATTTAAGGAAATCTTTGTCAAGTCACAGGCTGACCACAGAAACTTCAGTGACTACATGCAATAAGGAATACTACAGACTGAAAAATAGTTTGGAAAGATCACCATACAAACAGATCACCATACAAACAAGTAACAAAGGAAATCACCTAGGAGGCAAAGAATCCTATTTCAAGAGTTACCACCTCAGAATACTCAAATTGTTCCAGTTCTCAACCAAAACTACAAAGTATACAAAGAAGAAGGAAAATATGGAGCATTCACAGGGAAGAAAGAACTAGACAGAAACTCTTCCTCAGGAATTCTAGACATTGGAATCACTAGTCAAAGATGTTAAATCAACCATCTTGTATACGCTCAAATTGCTAAAAACAAAACAAAACAAAAACCAAAAAGCAAAACAAACCCCTCTGTGCTAATGAACTAAAGGAAAACAGGAGAACATGTCAATGAAGAGTTAGAAATTATAAAAAGGAACCAAACAGAAATTCTGGAGCTAAAAAGAGTAATAGCTGTGTTATGGGCTGAACTGTATCCCTTCTCCCCATTCATATGTTGAAGCCCTATAACCCCCAGTAACCCACAATGTGACTGTATTTGAATATAAGGCCTTTGAGCCCTAATCCAATCTGACTGGCCTTTTCGTAAGAAATGAAATTTAGACACAGAGACATTGGGGGGATGCACAATGTGAAGACAGTGAAAAAGTGGCCATCTTCAAGCTAAGGAGAGGTGCTCAGGACACCAAAACCAAATTTCCCAACATCACAATCTCAGACTTCTAGCCTCTTGAATT